GTGCTGAGATGTATTGCCTCCTTCCTAGGTCCTAGGCCCCAGACCTCGCCTGAAGCTTCCGAGCTACGAGTGGTAAGACATGAACTCAGCGAGGATCTCATGTGGTTTGGGCAGCTGCTGAGATCATGGGTGATACTGCAGGCAGGTGCCCGGCTCGTCAGGCGTTGTTGCTCCACTGATGTCTCGGCCCGTCAAGCATCTGACAGCGGGCTTTCGAAGCCACATTTGGAGTCGATCACCTTGCCAAGAAATTCGCTTTGGCAAAGTCCCCCTGTGCAGAGGTGTTCAGTAGAGCTGCAGATCTAGAAGACGAGGACCTGCAGCGTGAACATCTCTCCCGGTCAAGCTTCGGCTCAGTGATCAGGATCTCGGGACATGCCGTGATGTGCCGTTTTTCACCGTGCCATTAAATTGTGTGCCTGTTGCACCGCAAATGTCAAAGGAACTTGTACGACGCACGGTACCCCGAATACTCGTGAGAAGCCTCAGCAGCACCAAACCGAAGTAACTGGCTACTGTGACACCAATATGGACTACACCGAACTAGTTGACTCCTCACCGGTCCCGTTGCCACTGAAGCTGCCACTGATGATGAAGTCGCAGATTGTCATTGATGCTGCTACTGCTGATCATGCTCGTGCTTCAAATGCGGTGTCCATGACAGAGGAGAAAGAGAGAGAGAGAGAGAGAGAGCATTGAGAAACTTTCCCGACTACGCCTTACAGAGATGGCGAGGACGATGCGCTCATCGTCTACGATGGAAGCGCCGTAGCCGGCGAGGCGCAGTGCACTGCGCCGCCGGGCCCTGTGCTGGTGAAGGACAGTGAGCTGAGAGGCGCCCTTCCCTTGTAATGGTTTAGGGTTTAGGGGTTTAGGGGTTTAGGGTTTGGGGGGTTTAGGGTATACTGCATAGTGTCTGAGATCTCAGGTAGAATACACGCAGGTTGCTTGATATTTCCTTAAGTTTTCAACACCAAATTTGCGCTCTACAACATATACGTGTCTATGAGTATATATATATACATATGTCTATATGTCTATATGTCTATATGTCTATATGTATATGTATATGTATGTGTACGTGTAGATGTATATGTATATGTGTATACAGATATGAAAAACATATATATATATATTCATGTACACATACACCTACACATGCATCTGCACGACTCCTTTGTGGCGGACTCGGGAGTGGCTCTGGGCTCTGGGCTACGACGATTTGTGCCTCGAAGACTTCCCATGGCTGTCAGTCGTGTCTTGGTCGTTAAGCTTGCTGTTCGGGGCACAGGTTTCAAAGAACAACTTCTGATCCGAGACATTCAGAACCGGACAGCGTGAGGTCACGTTGACATCCACAGCTCGACTGCTTCATGCCCTGTAGGATCTCGTTGAGGAGATCGGGCACGATGTTGGCGACGAGGCCTTCACGAGACCTTCAAGCATGCCTTCAAAGGGTTGCCATGATTCGACAGCGCAGTCGTTTACGAAATCCATCAGTTCCAGCAGGCACCTACAGTTTGCCTCTGCGGCGGTGCTTGCGGCAGAGATCGATCTCTAAGGTCGTTTTACGAACCCTCAATGCTCTAGAAGCAGAAGGTGTGGTCGTTGCCTCAGATTGGAATTCAGGTTGTTGTGATTGTTCATGAGTAATTATTTGGCATCTGGGCCGATGTGTATTGCGGTGGGAACACCTCGCCGTCCGCAGGGACAGGAGCAAAGCACAGTCTGCATGTGAAGAAGAAAGCTATGAACGAAGCCCCCGAAAGCAGCACATTTCTGATGATCTTCGCCGACCTAACCACCCTACCATGCGGGCTTGTCCTTGCCCAGTAGCTGGAATAAACATGCACATGGGGATAGGGTATCAGATCCCACCTGGCCAGACTGTGAAACACGAGACACCGTCACTCTCAGGTCCAAACCCGACAGCTCCTGCAGCTATACCCACAGGACTTCGATGCAGCCTCTTGGCTGACGGTCACGGATTGAGGGATTTGCATCTTGGGGCGATCCAGGGGGCGCTAGGAGCGATCAAGTTTAGCTTTTTCCCAAGGAAAGCATCTCAGCTCGGTGCAGCCCAGGTGGTCATGCCACTTCTTCTCAAGAGCAGGCCGGGATTGTTGGACGCGTGTGGTGGGGGGAGGGGGGGGGGCCTTCTCGGGCTTACCCTAAACCCTAAACCCTAAACCCCCATATGCTGCGTGTTTTTTTTGAGTTTGAGGTTTGGTCCTGTGCGAGCTGCAGGTTACGAAGAGTTCGCGAACGGGGTGGGCGAATTCCCGAGGCCGGTCGACGCTCTTGGGTTTTTGATTTGGTGTTTAGTTTAGGGTTTAGGGTTTAGGGTTTGGGGTTCGGTTCGGATTATCCCTCCCTTCTGCAAGGATTTGATCGGCCACAAGAAGCCCAAGGCAGGATGCGGGCAACGTTTTGCACGGTGAAGCAAGAAGTTACAACTTCGAATGCAGCGAATCTTTCTGCTTGTTTATCGTCTTAGTTATAGCTATATATATATATATAATATGTATGTATGTTATGTATGTATGTATGTGTGTGTATGTATGTATGTATGTATGTATGTATGTATGTATATATATATATGTATGTTATGTATGTATGTATGTATGTATGTATGTATGTATATAGGTATGTATGTATGTCTGTCTGTATGTATGTATATAACTATACATATACATATTTATATACACATACATACATACACATATATGTATGTGCATGTATATGTATATGCTTATATTTATGTGCTCGCCTCTCCCCTGATCCACGTGTGTGTCTATGTATATATAGACATATAGATGAAAATACATAAAGCAAATGAATTAGCATACATATATACATATATATATACACACATACACATATATACATATTTACATATATATATATGTATACATATGTATAAACAATAAATATATGTATATATATATACATACATACAGACAGACAAATATATATATATATACATATATATATATGTATATATGTATATACACACTTGCATACATACATACATGTATGTATATATATATGTATATACACGTATATATATATACATATGTTTATACATATACATATATATATATACATACTATATATATATATATATTTATATTTATATTTATACATATACATACATATATACATTTAAATATAGACATTCATATGTATGTATGTATGTATATATATATATGTATTTATACATTTATGTATGTATACATATATATATACACACACATATATATATATACATATGCATACATTAGTGGATATTTATTTTTTGGGGGCCGAGATCTCAGAGCCTTGTGCCCCTAAGTCCGAGACCCCGGCTAGGCGGGTGTTTGGAAGACCTTGAATCCAGAACCTCGCTGCATCCCGGGCTGTCTGTGGAAGTCAGGAAGATGTGGAGGAAAGCCCGGGCCTCACAGCTTCGGATACTGCCCCCACTCAGCAACAGTTGAATAATCTGTAGAATATAGACTCATAGACACATTCGGCCCGTAACAGCACCCTTATCTTAGGCTGTTACTGTATGGGGGCAGTTCCCAACTCACAGCATCCACCAGAGATTTCGATTGAATCTTTCTGTAGCAATCACTGTGGTCTTGGGCTAGAGCAGCAGAAGAGCCGAAGGTGAGGGGCCGGCAGAAGACCAGGCAGCAGATGATGACAACGCAACTGTGCTGCATGTAGGGCTGATCCAGTGGCTTCGAAACGAACTTGCATATTGTCTCAGACTGAGATCCTGTGATCTGCGGACGCCGACCGCCTCCTTTCCGTCTTCACCGTATCTGCCGCGGCAGACCCTGGCAGCTCTGAAAGCGTCCGTGTAGGTAGATGGCTGAAATGCAAGCCAGCTCCTACTCCGCATGATTCCGAGTTGAAGAGTTGAAGAGGGACTGAAAACGTACCCCTACATCGTTCAAAATCAATCATCTGTATTTAATGGTTTGAAGCTGCGGTTTATGGGTGTTGCAATCGAAATCCCTCTCAGAAGAAGCTAGCCCGAAATTCCAAAATCCTGCGGTGTTTCCCACGGCTTGCCATGCGGAGCCAAAAATCCTAAACCCTGGCTCGTGCAATGCGGCTTGGCTTAGAGTCAGCGAGCACTTGAGCTCGCCAGACGCGTAAAAAACTTCGCAGCCACTGGCTGCTGCCTTAGGCAAGCGCAATCAAAATGAAGCTGCTTCAGGCTTTTCGGTCCGGTTCTCTTGAAGGCTTCAGCTGCCCTTAGCATTTCTCGGAGTCTGGGAAATCCAGCTGTCAAGGATGAATTGGAAGGTTGAGCGAATCCTAACCAATTGGCCTTGGACTTGACAACTTTCGCTCTCATTTTTATCTCAACGCCGGGGGCCACCAGTCAACTACAACTTTCCAAGCGCCAGAAAGCAACCTTCGCTAAATGCCATGCTGCAAGCATTCCTAAATCCCTCCATCTGAAGATGGACGTCTTAAAGCTTTGAATGTGGAGCAGATCGCATGATCTTCTGGGCACAGTTGTCGCGCATGCTTAAGAGGTGCCGTAGGATGAGGCTTTGACTTCCTTGCTTGGTGCATCGTGCCTTGCTTATTGCTTTCTCTTGCAGGTTGGGCGCGCATTTTGTAAGCAGCAGGGTAGTGGTGGCAAAGATGATCCTGCGGAGCGTCTCAAAATCATCCACGCAGCCCTTCAGTAGGGGGATTTTCGCAAGCATGGATTCGTAAAACGGCGAGTCGCGTCTGCCAGGTGCTACAGATAAAGCCAGGATCCCAAACAGACCAGGTGCAGCCAGCGGGAGGGATTTCCAGTGGGGCGTAGCAGGATCCAGAAGAGCGAAGCTGTGCATGCAAGAAGCCTAGAGCTCATGCGAGCAAAGAAACGGCCACTGTCTGCCACGCCGCCAAAGCTCTACTTTCAGTGCAAGGGCTTAGCAGGGAAAATCATGCATCGCACCTTCGCACCGTCTATAGAAAAGGCGTATCAAGCTTTGGAAGTGGCTTAGCTCAGGATGCGGAAGGTGCATCGCAATGGCCCGCTGCTCCTCTTTGCAGTGCTGCTCGGCCTCTTCGCCTACCGCCGCTCCCAGGCTTCGGGCTCCGACTCTCGGGGCGACTGGGCCCTGAGCCTTTCAGAGAGCCAGGAAAATGAGGCCCCGCTCCCCAGGGCCATCTTGGTCCATCCGGACAGGGGGACGCCCTCCTTGGCCAAAGGCCCGGTCTGCTCCGCCACTCCCCAAACCTGAGCACTAGCTAATTACTAGTTTCTGGCATTGAGTCGCTGCAGGGAAGGTTCGCAGTCTTTGAGCCCACTACATGCTTCCGTCGACGCCCTAAACCCGAAACAACCCCACGCATTTTTTCGCAACAGGCGTGGTGTCCACCACATGGTCAGAGGCCGCTGAGCAAATCCGGCGTCGCGTTGCTTGGGACCTGGATGCCAAGGCTGAGCTGCAGGTTGCGGATTTCCGAAAAATAGGAGGACTTCAGAAGAGGGATTCTATAGTTTAGGGTTCGGCAACGACATCATTGAATTCATGAAGGATCCTGCTATTTAGGCTCGCAGGGTAGCCCACAATCGGGATCCAAGTTGTTGATGGCTTACATCACGGATTCCGTGTGTTCCTGAAACTCCCAGGTGATGACGCTGACCCGCTTTTGCCAGAGTCTTCAGAGAGCACCCAGCAACGTCTCGCTGGTCCTTGGCCTGGATCTGTCAGAGAAGCTGCCCTCGCCTTGTACCGACCAGGCCAAGAACAATATGCTCCACTCGATTCCCACCCGGCTCTTTGTAAACAGCTCTGCTCCCGGATTTATGGAGAGCAACAGCTGGTATCCTTCAACTAAGCCCAAGGGAAGGAAGGCGTGGAAGCTACTGAAACGCGTTTTGCGACTGCTCCATCGTCAAGCAGAGGACGAGCTGATTCAAGCTCTTCTCCTTCTCATGAACCAGCATGTCATACCTTTGAAAGCGGTGGAGATGCAAATGCCCAATCCGAATCCGGTATCTCTTGCTCGGACTGGCATCTTCTGTGGCTTAGACACAGCTGCGTGCATGCTGCAACCTCAGTGCATCTTGACAGCATTTTCAAGAGAAAGCAAGGACCGCACAAAGAGTGTTTGTGATTCGTCTGCATCAGTCCGGGAGTCATTGAATGTAGATGAGCTAATAATAAACTCTCGAGAGTTGCTGAGAGCGTCTCTGAGGCTTTCAGGGTTTGTTCTGCATTGCTCTATGCCATCTCGATGACCAGACCTGCGCCTACCGTTGCCTGCTGAAGCATCTTTGTCATAGTCTTGTAACATTTTACTTAGCAGTTTAAACTTTTTAAACCCTAAACCCTCTGTCCGAGTCGTGAGAGTCCAAACCCTGATCCGCAACCATGAACCAGGCCCAAAGCCTAAACCCTAAACCCCAAAGCAAGCTCAGGAGGGAAAAAAAGCAAGCTCAGACCGTAACCGCCATGCCTGCCTTGCGAGCGTGTGAGTCGAAACCCCAAAGCCCAGATCGGTATAGGTATGATGTTCCCATGATTGCTAAATTCTCGGAGTGTGCGCTCGAGAAGCAGCCGCTTGGAGACAGCCTCTCGAGGGCCTCCTTTTTTTGCGCTTTTTTCTTTTCTGTTTTTTTGGTTTAGGGCGGTTTAAGGTTAAAAGAGAGAGGGGTTTAGGGTTTCACGAGTGCGATGTGCTGCGAGGGATCTGGCCGGGCGAGCTCAGTTCAAGCCTGTGGAAAAGGGGATTAGGGTTTGGGGTTGAGGTTTTTGCAAGCTGGCAGCATATAGGGTTCAGGATTCAGGGCTTTAGCAGAGTCATGGCTTCGGACCGCTGGCACTGACTAGGAATGTGATGAACTTCCATGCGCTCCCTCCGACTCTGCCGGAAGTCAAGCCTCTGGACAACTACCGCTTCGCCCAGCTAACAGTGCCAATGGCGAACGAGATCTTGGTTGGGCACAGGAAAAACAAGGAGAAAAGGTACAGTTGGATCGTTGCTGCATCCTCCAGTGCGGCATATGCACAGTTCCGGCTGCAATACCAGATCTGGCGCTATGTCAAGAAGCGCTTCTTATATCACGCTGTGTTTCTGGCGGAAGGGCGGGATGGGAAGGATGCCTGGAAAACACGGACATACTTGGTCAAGCCCTTGGAAGAAGCCGGACACTGGCTTTTCCGTGCTTCCGACAGCGGCATCAAGGTGCAAGAACACTGGTACCTGCTTGGCGCTGACAGGGACTTGCAATGGATGGTGCTCTATTTTGCCGGGGTGGCGTCTCATGCAGGGCAGGCATACCGAGGAAGTGCCTTGCCGGCTGCAGGGAACGAGAATTCCAAGGTTTGTCAATTCTCGTAGTGACAGCCTCGCGTTCAGCACTGCTGGGTCATAAGGTCAACCTTCGACGTTATCCGAAACCACTCCTTGGCATGCCAGTAAGGAGTTAACCATATGTAGTAAGGGTATCAACATGTTTGAGGTGTTCGCAAGAAAAGTGCCAGGTGCCAGGGTTCTTGCGACAACTTCGAACGCTACCACAAGCTCCCAAACCCGTCTGACAGCGCATAGTGAGTTCTCAGCTTGTCAGACCGTCGCCACAGTCCTTCTCGGCTGTTCCAAGTGCGAGTGTCAAAAGCTCGTAAACCCTAGAGTCTAGAGCCTAACCGCTGTAGTTCGTCCTAGCCACGCAGGAGGCAAAAAAGCCTCTGTAGTGGTCCGTGGGGCTCGTAGTGCCAACCCCAAGCCCCAAAATCCCTGCAGCCCCTTGCGAGCGCCCCAGCCCTAAACCCTAGAGCCTCACCTGCAAAGGAATCTGCCCGGCCTTTGAATCTGTCCAGCTCCAGTTCGCCTTAAAGTCTTTGCCTGGTTGACAAGAAAGCCTCAAACTTTGAGGTATGCTTCTTACAGCAGACGGCAACTTGCCGTCATCATATGCCATGCGCGATGTCGAGGAGTCTCTGTCACGCGTTGGGATGGCTTTGCTGCTTGGCTCAGCTTAATATGGTCGGAATAATTACAACAGCATCCCCTTGCCGCCTTTACGTCCGTACATAAGTATGACATACTTCCGTGGAACGCCCTAAGAACAGGGGTGCGAACCACACTCTGC